CATAAACAAGAACAACCGAGGAGAAAACATACTTCGGGAGTGAGGCGAAGAAAATGTTTAAATCCAATATATTAAGAGTGTCGATACTGTTCATAACCACACTGATCAAATTTGTGCACCTAAAAATGAAAACTTTCATTGTTACAGTGAAACAGAGTATCTGCTTGACAAAGCTGCTAAGCGCTTAATGGACAGAAACATTTCTTAACAAAAAAACATTTCAAAATGTTTCTTAACATTTTTTTTTTGCTAATTAAAATGAAGCTGACTTCCTTCAGCATGCCAGATAAACTTCTCTAAACCATTATTCTCACTGTTATGCATTTTTGTCGTGCAGCACTAGAGCGCTGCAACAGACAGCAAAAACACCTATTGCGACGACCCTGTCAGTATGTGTATGTGTGTGTGTGTTTGTGTGTGTGCGTATGTTTGTGTGCGTGTATTCGTCTGTCCGGGTATTTCAATTCGCCAACCAAGCAAGCTTTGAAGCTGAAATTTTGCCGATTTGTTCCCCAGTCAAGTGCCACCCCAGGGCCGCAGTGTCGACCCACACGCACGCCTGGGCTCCGCATATTAGCACGTGAAATTTTTGGCGGGAAAATTGCTAACCCAACGAGAGAAGCTAGAAGGCGAAACCTTACGGTAATGTTTCTTTCCCATGTATGGCAAAAAGATTTCAAATTCAGCTGCCCAGGATTGCCCGGGGCTTACATACGGACACGCGAAAATTATGGCGGATGAATTCATAACTCGGGAGTGGGAAAAGCTAGAAAGCTGAAACTTTAGGGGAACTTTGATGTTCACTACTCATGTACGACCAAAAATTTTCAAACTCAGCCCCTCAGAACAGCCCGGGGCTCACGTAGGGACACGTAAAAATTTTGACGGGAAAACTGCTAAATCGGGGACGAGAAAATCTGGAAGGCTTTAATTTTAAGGGAATGTCCCTTACTCACGTGCAACTAAAGATTTCAAATTTAACTCTTCTAGTGCAGCCTTTTTCGCGGATAAGCAACTTCCCATTTGTCGGGTCACTGAAGTCGAAATCTACAATTGACACACCACATAGCTGGACAACTTCCCGAATTTAGGGTCATAGGGCTAGCTACCGCGATTCTCTGCGATCTTGCTACGGCATGAAAAGTGCAAAAACGCATGATCGCACCGGCCCGCCTGGTGCGTTCCTGCCTGGATTATTAGCAAAACACTGCAACCACTAGCCACCAACGATTGCCCTTATCTCACAGACGGAGTGAAGTCCAGAGAGTACTGCGAATTTGAATGCTAAACTGTCTCTAAAACAAACAGTGCAGAAAGTAAATAACTGGCCAACGCACGGGCTGCCCGTGCGAAGATGCGTTTTTTGCATAGCTCCCCGCAGATTTTTGTTGCTGACGACACTGGTTTTTCTGGCAGATGGTCTCAGCTAAAACAATTTCAGACTGGCCCTCAGGACTGCCAAAAAGTATCCCTTCAAAATCCCAGTCTTCTTGCTTCTTAGATTCCCGAGTTATCAACTTACCCCAACAAAAAATTTCATGGGCGCGTACGTGGATACCACGCCTACCAAGGACTGGGTTTGGACTCACTAATAACTACTTGGACTGGGGATATCCCCTTAAGATTTCAGCTTTCTAGCATTTCAGATCCCCAAGTTACGAACTTACCCGAAAAAAATTTTGGCAAGCCCGTGTGCAGGTAACACGCTTACCGGAGGATGGGTTTGAGCTCATTAATACCAACTTGGACGGGGAACATATCCCTAAGATTTCAGCTTTCTAGCATCTCAGATCCCGGAATTATGAACTTACCCGCAAAAAACTTTGACGGGCTCGTACGCGGGTACCACGTGGGCAAGGGCGCCCATTTTGGGGAGTGGGGCCCGTACGTGCATGTAAATTAAGTTCCTAAAGCTTCAGCCCTATAGGTTTTGGTACGAAATCGGTACATACGCACACACAGACACACGGGCACACAGACAACCCTTCATCAAGATGCGTTTTCTGCATTGCGTAGCTGCAAAAAAACGCAGAAAAAATCCTAATTTTAAATGCGCACCAACTCCATTAATCATACTGCCATCAGCTTGCCTATAAGTTTCATTCCAAAGACGAAGGTTTAACAATGGATGGTCCCCGATGTCACGTGCTATTGCCTGGATTACTTTTGAGCCCAGCATCTCAAAAGAAACGAGTTTTTGACTTCCACTCTAAAAAACGGCAACAGATTGCAGATAGCTGCGAATTAGAAGTGTTACAAACCTTTTTGCAATAGCAATCAGAGATTGTGCGACAAGTCGGTAGCAACCGCCGATTCGGAGTGTATTAAGGGATAACGGAAGGGATAAAAACGAAGGCATCCCAGTGAGTCGCTCATTCTCGCTCACGTCCAAATTTGTCAATCGTTGGCACTTCGAGAAAAATGATGAAAGACCGCTCTCCACAACACTTTCCTGCAAAAAAGGGAACTCAGAAAAAGCTGTCAAAAAGCATATCAAACATTATCACCACAGTACATTCGCTGTGGATCAAAAAACTACATTTCTGTTCGAGAAAATTTCAATAATTGTAGCAATGCGAGATGTCATGCGAACAACAAGAAAGTCATCGATGTGGAAGATAGGGTTGTCGTTACTTGGAGAACCTGCGGAATTACGTAGATGCGCACATGTGGAAGCAAATCACGACATTCCCAGCACAAAAACAACGCAAATGGACTGAGGTTCATCACAAAACTCGAACAGGGTAAGAACAAACGGCGTGGCACCCAATCAGTGCTATCGGTGGAGAGACAGTGCAAAAAAAGCTATTTTCTGTTTCACAGATCTGTAATGATGAGTTAAACATATTTACTATAATAATTGCTATAAGTGTTGTGCTCACGGAGATACAGCTATGGCGCTGAAATAAAACTCAGTGAGCCAAAACCTTTTATTCGGTAGCAATGGCCGTAACTCTCACTGAAAAATGCTTATATTTAAAAGCTTTTACATATCCAGATTAGCTACGTACGCTTCTCCCTGCCATAAACTGATCCCGTTGGTAGAATGAGTTCGACCTATTTGTGACGTTCACGTCACTAAAAAATAAATGGCCAACGCACGGGCTGCCCGTGCGAAGATGCGTTTTTTGCAGAGTTCCCCGCA